CCTGCCCAGCTGTGGGGGTTCCCCCCATTTTGGGGGGGTGGGGGGGGGTCCCGGTTTTGGAAGTCACCCCTTTTTTGGGGTCCTCCCCATTTCGAATGTCCCGATTTTTGGGGTGCTGCCGCTCCTGGGTCCTCTGGGTGCTCCTGGTCCCCTTTTCCGGAGGATCCCCCAAACTCCAAACACCCCAAATTTGCGACGTTGATCCGAGGGCTGTTGGGTTTTTGGGTGTCCCCCTCCCCCCCAATTTTTGGAGCCCCATATTTGGAATCTGCCCCCTTTTACTTTCCAAGAGGTTTCACATCCTCGGGGTTTTTGGGGTGCCGGATTTTGGGGCTGTCCCGGTTTTTGGGGTGCCGGTTTCTGGGGCTGTCCCGGTTTTTGGGGTGCCGGTTTTTGGGGCTGTCCCGGTTTTGGGGTGCCGGTTTTTGGGGTGCCGGTTTTTTGGGCTGTCCCGGTTTTGGGGTGCCGGTTTCTGGGGCTGTCCCGGTTTTTGGGGTGCCGGTTTTTGGGTGCCGGTTTCTGGGGCTGTCCCGGTTTTTGGGGTGCCGGTTTCTGGGGCTGTCCCGGTTTTGGGGTGCCGGTTTTTGGGGCTCAGTCGTGGTACATGCGCAGCAGGCAGGCGCTGATGGCCGCCATGTAACGCTCCCACAGCGCCTGGTGCCTGCAGGACGGCAACAAAGAATTGGGGAGTCCCTCCCTCCCCTCCTCGGAACCCCCCCCTGGGTGTTCCCAGCCAGCCCCCCCCCATTCCGGGCTGGTTTTAGGGTCCCCCTAAGGCAGGTTTGGGGGTCCCCAGGTGCGGGGGTCTCACCTGAAGGCCGCCAGGTTGCGCGGGGCCGCCGTGTACTGAGCCAGGAAGAGCCGCAGGTCCCCAGGGCTCCACTTGTCAGAGCGGCACGGCTCGATCACCTGCGGGACCCCCGAACGCCCCCGCATTTTGGGGAAGGGCTCCCAGTTCGGGGGTCCCCAAGTGCAGGAACCCCAGGGATTTTCTGGGTGCCCGGCGATTTTGGGGTTCCCCCCCCCCTCACCTTTTCCACCAGGTCCACGAAGAAATCCCGGACGTCGCGGGCGTGGGTCAACTTCCCCCCCACGTTCACCAGCGCCCGGGACAGTGCCTGGGGTGGGGAGGGGGGAACCGGCGATTTTGGGGACCCCCCCTCAACCCCGGGACCCTCCCCCTGAGCCCCCCCAAAAAAAAAGAGAGCGAGGATTTCGGGGCGCCCTCAGGGTTTTGGGGACCCCTCCCTCCCGGGGGAGACCCCGGTGCTGGGAGCTGCCCCCCCCCACCCCAACCCCCCTCCACAAACGAGCCCAGGGGGCTCCTCCGGGGTTTTGGGGGGGCTCAGGATTTAGTGGAGGCCCCTCCCCACCGAGGACCCCCCGTTTTTGGGGGAGGGCTCACCTTGAAATTGGCCTCGAGCTCGTTGTAGACCGAGATTTTCCCCCGCAGGGCCGAGCACA